ATAAATGAATATTAATTCAAAAGCAAATAATTTTATTGAAAATAGTGAATTACAGTTCGTAATAAATCTAAACTTGTGAACATATAAGTATGAATTGCATAAAAAGTATGAAAAATTTTGCATGTTAAAAATTATATCCCTTGTATAAAAATTTGGATAATATCGACATGGACAAAACATATACCAAACAAAACCCTAACTATCCAGCTACAATTTAGTAAATAAATGAATAAAATAACCAAGACGGTATTAAAATAAATTAAAATCAAAGTAGCACTGCCATATTTTGGCCGCCCTGTAATATTACTGTTAGTAATATATAATCTAAATTTAAATTTTAAATACAAGGATATCAAATTCGCTGGTATGTGACCGCTCATCCCCCCTACTCGGGTACCACATTAGACCCTCCTGTTTAGCGTGCATTTTTCCGGCTACCCAGTGCCCATCCACGAGTGCCCGGGTTATATAAGTCTCACCATCCATGCCATGATAGGCCTGATCGTGAGACCACTCTTGACCACCAAATACAGCACCATCTGGTATACCACTACCGGCGTATTGTACCCAGCACAAATTAGCACCATGCGGGTTTGTTAGCACCTCGTATTCCGAGTGTTTATACTCGCGACCGCCAACACTGCCGTGACATTGGTTTCGAGATGGAACGATCTAGGTATAATGACCAGGGATAATTTATAGTTTATTTCATTAAATCATTACCAAATGATACTCTGTATAAATATATGAATATAAAATTTTTTATGTTTTCAAACAATAAATACTTTTATTATATAAATTATTATTTTTAAAATATACTGAACTAGTGTTGCAATTTAGGAGTTTGTTATACTACAGTACTATAGAATAGTTATAAAAAACTTTAAAGTTAAATTGAACACTAATTTTGTATATTCAATCATATATTAAAAGATTATGGTTTAATATCAAGGTACCTTTCCGGGCAATAAATTAGAGAAGTTCTTTACTCGACCCACATATACAGTCTCTCCGTTAATCTGTTTGTCATAGGACACCCGGTGTTCAATAGGCACCTGATCTATGGGACACTTTTTCCAGACAGGCAATTTTTGTTTGACACCTAATAATTGAGACAAGTACAAATATTAAAAACATTTAGAATACTACAACTGTATAATAAAACTATTTTCATACTGTCCGGTAGGGGTCCACTTTCCAGATCATTTATTATAGCCGTTTGTGATGTAGGTGCTGATT